CGCACACACGAGTTCATGGCCATTGCAAATTTACACACACCGTTACAGTTTTTAATAAAAAAAAAGTACATCGAGAGAAATTATTAATAGGTACAACAGGCCAGTATCATTCAGTTTTTGAGTAATTTTATGTTTTATCATAGTAATAAATATTGTATAAATCTTTATCTTATGTAGATAAAAATAAATACGTTATCTGCTGTTTTTCTTTTAATCGGCTTCCTTAATTATATTAAACACCAAATACCATTTAAAAATATATATTTAATATAACCTTAGAAAACATGTAGGTAATATACAATCCTGAAATTTCTAATTTGAAATAAGGTCAAAAAATTAAAAATAAAAGTCTACATACGGCCCATAGAAGCCGCTCCTCATACTATCCAAAAGGATTTTGAATCAGAGACCAGTTCATCGCTCTGTCCTTATGGATTTTGGCTGACTTCAAATATCCGCAAATGTTCTATTCTATTCTATTCGACATTTCACAAGGACAAACATCAAGACCTGGAACAATTGTTTGTAGGCCATAGAATTACTTGTTCCGTGCGGGATTCGAACCCGCGGCCCTTAGCGCTGCAACTCATTGCTAAGCCGCTGCGCCACGGAGCCGTCATAGGAGCGCACATAAAATTGCGATTAAAAATTTTAATAATGAAAAGTATGAAGTGAATCCAGTCCTTGAAATAACACATATATATTTTAATAACTCAATTAGTAAGAATAGGTGCAATAAATGAGATTTGATATTTTAAATATTTGTGTCTCTACATAAGTTAAAAATTGCAGGTATTTTATTGAACAAAATTATATTATATGCTCCGATTTGTCGCCATTATAAATAAAAATATAAGATATGCCTCAACAAGACCCCAATCGACCTACATTCGCGTAGCCTTTATAAAGCAATGTACGAATATATAAGGTAACAAAGACAAACGCGCTTTATAAATTGTGTACGTATTGGCTTTCCACGTGCAAGAATATTTTTAAACACAAAATTATTTCATTGCACGAATTACGCGAATAACTTTTTAATAAGGTGAAATGAACCCTTTCTGTACATAGTGAACCATACAATTTTACGTGGTAGAGCCATGCTGCAGCTATATTAGTAGTATAGTTGTAGCACGAATGGGTCGGCTCGACCGGGGAGGGACCACGCTCTCACAGAATACCTGCGTAAAATAGCAGCTTGACACTGCTGTGTTTCGTATGGTGAGTGAGAGAACTGGAGACCTATTTTACTGGAAAAGAGGTATTCCATCTTAGTCCTCACGGGTGTCGACGCATCTGCACTTTGATTCTTTATTGAGGATAAATGTAGATGTCTATGGGCTGCAGCAACCACTTACCATCAGGTGGACTGTGTGCTCGTTTGTCACCCTATCCTATAAAAAAATGCTGATTGGCAATTGATGATATGGTGACCCAATGATAACGAAAAATTAATCTAAATACACTGAGCCGAAAATTTACTAAATAATGATGGGAGGCAGTATTTTTAGTTCGAGAGCTGTGCGCTTACTTCCACAACTAAGACGTGTCCCCCCATATGGTGAAATCCGTCAAGCAGTTTAAGCTACAGTGCGTACCAAATACATAGACATACATATGTACATACACTCGAAAAACATCACTTTCCTTCTGAGGCGGTCGAGTAGAAATAATTATTCATACGATAATCGTATAAATAAAAAAATACTTATTCGTCCAATAATTTTTAAAATTAAAACGTTTGATTCTTTTAATATTATATTTTAATTTATTTGCGGTTAACGATTGTATCATTGTGATGTACACGGCTGGTCACCCCAGCAGCACTTTAACCTACCGTCACTGATATTGCAATATTGGTGTAATATTTTATTAGACGCAAATACACGCATTTCCACGTGGTAGAGCCATGCTGCAGCTATATTAGTAGTATAGTTGTAGCACGAATGGGTCGGCTCAACCGGGGAAGTACCACGTTCTTACAGAATACCAGCGTAAAATAGCAGCTTAATGCTGCTGTGTTTCGTATGTTGAGTGTAGAGAACCGGAGACCCTTTTTACTGGAAAAGAGGCATTCTATCTTAATCCCCATGGCTGAAAACGCATCTGCATTTTAATTCGCAAACGAAGATAGATGTAGATGTCTATGGGCCACAACAACCACTTACGATGAGGTAGACTGTGTGCTCGTTTGTCACCCTTATTCTATAAAAAAAGGCTACAGAGCGTACCAAATAAATAGACATACATATGTACATACACTCGAAAAACATCACTTTCCTTCTGGGGCAGTCAAGTAGAAAGTAAATAAGTCAAATTACGTTTTTTTTATAGGATAAGGGTGACAAACGAGCACACAGTCCACCTGATGGTAAGTGGTTGCTGCGGCCCATAGACATCTACATCTATCCTCTATTACAAATCAAAATGTAGATGCGTTGTCACCCGTGAGGACTAAGATGGAATGCCTCATTTCCAGTAAAAGGGGCCTCCGACCACCTGCACTCACCAAGCGAAACGCAGAGGTAAACCTCTACTTCACGCTGGTTTTCTGTGAGGTCGTGGTACTACCCCGGTTCGAGCCGGCCAATCCGTGCGACAGCAAAAGCTGCCGCGTGGCTCTACCACTGTTAAAACGTACGTATTCGTTAGTTTATCCATTACCTCATAATTTTTTCATTTTTCAAACATTGCTTTATAACTAGAATTCAATTGAAAATGCTTGATATTAGATGACAAAAACTGTTAAATCTTAAACGATATTCTGATCTAGAAGAATGATAACAAATTTCATGACATATAAAAAGGGGGCTGTCCATGTGGTTAAAGTATTTCTTTTAAATCCACTACATTGACTGTTTGCCACATATACGATGCGAAAAGCATACCTAGCATATATACCAGCTGTTTCAAATGATCGGTACATTTCATTATATCTGTAAGTTCCTTATACTATTTTTTTACGTCCATTACGAAGGAAAGACCAGCCGGAAATTGAGTTTTCTTAAATTATATATATATATTTCCTCAATCGCTTATATTTGGCACACCTGGTTAATCTTCGCGGAAAAAACTCAATGTCCGGTACATTGACCCTTACGATTTTATCATAATATAGATACATAATATGTATCTACTTTTATAGAATAAACACCAACAAAACCTCCGTTCGTGCTAATATAAAAGATGATTTAGTTCAGTATTCCGCGTGAATCAATTTACTGTCTCCGAACGGTCATATTTTCCAAGCGAGCATTTTCCCTAAATATGTTGTAGGAAAATAAGAAGTTAGAAAAATGTTTACGTCCGTAGATAAAATATAGTCACCGGCAAGATTTGGCCACACATAAAAGAATGGCTTAGTTTCATATAAATTACCTAATACTAAGAATTATTATAGCTTACACAGATCCCCCTCAATGATACATTTGATTAACCAATACAACGTACGTTGCTCTTATCCGTTACTTCTAAACGACAAATATTTCTATCAAAATCAAAGACATAATATTAGTACAACCTATATATAAAATTATAGTAATTTGAAAAACATTGTGCTCTTAACATAATAGCTCTCTAGTATCGAAACTGGTGAAGGTATTTTACATGTAGCAAGCTAGGTGTACGATTTCTGATATTCTCATTAGTCGCCTCTTACTACACCCACTGAATGAAATTGAACAGTTGATTCTTTTGATATATTTTATGGTAATATTTTTATATATTTTATGGCAATATTATAATCAAAGAAATAACATCCATGTCATCTTATGTCACTACTGCACAAAAGTTGTTTGGTGGACTAAGTCTCAAGGTTTCTTTACAATGTGCTTTTTTGCCTCCATCTACCTAACAATCTATACATAAAGGTACATAAACACTCTTGTATGTCACCCAGAGGGGAAGGCAGAAACTACGGACTTCCATTTAGCACGATCCTGACACACCTCTCTCGCCTCCTTTACATCCATATACCTACACATACGGTGCTCCTAATCTGGCCCAATTTCATTATATCACCAATTTGGTCGATAAACCTTCATCTAGGGCATCCCTTCCCGACTCTGCCGTAACCGTCTTACAATCTATGTATCTTAAAATATTGTAAATTAGCACTGTATTGAGTAGTAAGTATTGAGAGCAAGCGTCTTGCCTTGACTCTGCTTCAAATGCCATTCTAGAAATAATTAAAAACATCATAAAAGCTCAGCATAACGTAAAACTATCAATTGTGGAATTTTAATAAAGTGCTGAATAAATGCATATCGAGAACTAACGTTTCCCATACCTTAAATAACACCACTGAATTTATGGCAAAGCCATTCGTAAAAAAACAATCGTTTACTATAAATGGTGCTTCATACATCATTACCACAATGTGCTACGTCACTGCTACGACAGCTACGCACGAGTCGTAGTCGCCGCGGGGCAGTGGGCGCGTAGCCACCAACTTACGAGCTAGGTACTTTTTATTTCCAACGCGAATTTAAAAGTGAAATTACTTGGATATATTATCAAAGGTATAATTATGTATATACTATCATTCAGTTTAAGTAAATACAATTTTATATGTATTTAAATAATTTAGAAGTTGTATAAGTTAAATGAATATTGTACGAAATTTTAATATTTACAAGCAATAAATGAATTACCGATATAACGGTTTTTACGTATTTAAAAATAAATAAATAAATAGTGTAATTTTACTTATAAACACACTTTTTTGTGTTTAATGAACATTCCTGTGTTAATGTTTAAAGGAGTAAATGCATATATTCATAAACTTCTAAAAACTTAATATTTTTCTATTCTTACATATCTTACCTCTAGACCTTTTACTTTCATTAATATTTTATATGTATCTTAAAAATATATAATAAAATCTATGCTTAAAATCACTTGCACGAATTGAAACGATAAAACTCGTAATCCAAATAACATAAAAACCGTCAATGTTTTTCCACAATCGAATTCTAAAACAATTTCTTATCTGAACACAGATGGCGCCAACACGAGCGAACTTTTTCATTCCATCTCCGAGAATATTTCTCTGGAGTTGCGCGATTTTCATTATGTTAAGTGGTGAGTGCGTCTCTACTTTAAATAATGTTTTAGAATAACTGTAAACGACCGAGTCTCAACACGCAAACACCTTTCGTTTTGCAAGGAAAAAGATATACTTCCTTTTACACTATTTAATTCAAGCTGTTTTATAGAGAATTTTATAACGTTTTATTCGTGTGAATGGCGAACGTTTTACGATTTAGCTTAACTTAAGAGTCGTTTTCTTTAAAAATTTATTACAAAATTGCACTACCTAAGAACTAAACATTTTTAGATTACCATATAGATTTATTCTAACATTATCATCACTTCTAATATTTGTTTAAATTAGACAAAAAGTTATGAGTATATTCTTCCAGTATAGGTCTCAATTTGAAAATAATGAAATCATATGTACACAAGAGACCCACTTTAAGTTTTCGAATTTTTTTAGAAATTTCAATTTTAAGACCGTTGGTTAGTTCGTTAGTTGATTGGACCTATCCGATGTAAATCGACTTATTCAATTCTCGGCTGAGTTGAGTTCGGTAGATTACAACACATCTTCCCGGCAAGTATTCAGCAAAACTTTTTATTTTGTTTTTTTTTTTGTAGTACAGACATGCGTGTTTCGTTAATCCTTCCAAATGTAAAGTAATGGTTATAGGTAGTAGCAGGATATTAGCTAAGATTAATAAGGATAATCATTCTCCCGTATTTTACAATAGAACTTTGCTGCCATTTTGTAAATCTGTCAAAAATCTTGACTTAGATATGGGCCAACATTAAGCTGGAGAGTTCAAGTTGCTGAAATAAGCCATAAAGTTTTTTAATATGATTAGGGTAACAAACGAGCACACGGTCCACCTGATGGTAAGTGGTTACTGTGTCCCATAGGCATCTACATCTATCTTCGATTACGAATCAAAATGCAGATGCGATGTCACCCGTGAGGACTAAGATGTAATGCCGCGTTTCCAGTAAAAAGGGTCTTCGCTTCTCTACACTCGCCATACGGAACACAGCACAGCGTTAAGCTGCTATCTAACGCGAGTATTCTGTGAGAGCGTGGTGCTTCCCCGGTCAAGCCGACCCATTCGTACTACAACTATACCAGTAATATAGCTACAGCGTGGCACTACTACAAAAAAAATACTGCCACCTTACGTTCTCTTTGTCGTCTCAAAAACTTTCTGCTTTTTAAAACTAAACTTCTACTTATCCAAACTTTGATATTGCCCATTACTGATTATGCGGATGTGTGTTACCCAGATCTATCACAAGACATATCAAGTCGATAAGTGGAGCGCCTTCTCAACAATTGCATTAGGTTCATTTTCTGCTTATGTAAGTATGACCATGTTTCCCAGTACCGTTCTAACATTCAATGGCTTTCTATACGTCAAAGGCGTAGCTCCTGAATTTAATAAGTACTATATTAAATTTTAAATGACCCAAATTCTCCTACTCATCCTAAGGATAACTTTCAGTATCTGTATTCTACTCACGATAGAGTTGCACGTTCCAAAAAAAATGGCTTAAAATTCGTATTCCACCACATAAGAGTGGTTTCTTTAATTTCTCGTTTACTGTGCAATCCATACTGCTCTGGAATGCCCTGCCTATTGATATCAAGAAAATCAGTAGCAAGAATTATTTTAAGAGACTAGTTCGAGAATTCTATCACAAGAATAACCACCTGATTTATCAGACTTATATTTTTCTCTATTTTTCGTTTTATAAGTGATATTTTGTATAATATGTATTTTAATATGTATCATGTCATTTTATTTTTATATTTTAATTATTTAAAGATTTCATTCTTTTTTGTAATAGATATTAAGTACTAAGTACTAAATATATGCTATTTATTCTATTTATTTGCATTTTGTTGTACTTAATAAGTTTATGTAGTGGTTGTTTACACTTGCCACAGTTTCTCAACTCATCCAGAGTTAACTGGTAGAGAGTGCCATAAGGCATTAAGTCCATCCCTTATTATAAGGTGTATAAAAAAGATAAATAAATAAAAATAAATAATAAATAAATAAAAATAAAACTTAAAAAGATTAGTGACAACCAGTGCATGGTGGCGTGGATGGATAAATATGACACCTGGCTTTTAACCGCTGACCGTATATGGAGTTCCGCTAGGAGTTTCTCTGCTTGATATACAATATATACGAACGAGACTAATCGCAGTAGAATAAGAGTAAACGACATAGTACAACGGATAAGTAAGCTGAAGTGGCAATAAGCGGATGATTAAGAAAATTTCTTGTGTGGCAGTCTCGTACTGGTATGTGAAGCAGCCTCCCACTAAATAGAGTGAAGACATGCAGGAAGGCGATTTATTATGCAGGTGGCTCAGAACCTTGTTTTGTGGTATTAATTGGGGGAAAACTATGTTCAGCAGTGGACTTGTGAAGAGCTGTAATGATGATGGTGATATATAAAGCATATTTAACACTTAAGTTTCACTTTCACTTTTTTTAAATTAACTTATGAAGTGGATAAATAAGCTATTACTAAATCCTTTCTATTGATATAGAACGAGCACTTTAGTATTTAAATCTTAGAAATATTAACGGCTATCTGCAAACCCAAATTAAGTGTATATATAAAAGCACTTGGTCATTTTTTATAAGTAAAATTGGTAAACAAACACAATCCACCTGAAAGATGTTGTATCCTACTGATGTTTACATCTATTGTCGAATAAGAATCAAAACGTTACCATAGAATACCAGTTCTATAAGTGGTAGAGCCACTCTGCAGCTATATTATGGTTGTATGACGATCAAGTCAGCTCGACCAGGGATTTGTGGTTATTACTGATCATGTGGTGAGTGTAGAGAACCGGAGACCCTTTTCAATGAAAACGAGGCATTCCACGACGAGGTGACAACGCATCAGCATTTTAAATTTTAATCAAGAATACTCGTAGATGTTGATATGGATGGGCCACAGTATCTACTTACCATCCAGTCAACTGTGTGTTCGTGTATCACCCTTATTCTATAAAAAAAAACCCAGTAAAAAGCGTTATTTTGTAGAAGAGCATAAAGAATATCTATGCACATTAATAACTTTAATTCTGTAATTACTACCCCTTTAATATTACATAGATATTCTTATGTATAGTCATTCGTCTCTGGAAAATCAAATGTTTGAAAATTCATTGAGAATGGTAAAATATTCACGCTTGCAAATATTATATAAGTAAGCATTTAAACGGCATTTACTCTCACACGTTTCCGTAGTAAGAAAGACAAGAGCTCAAGCTTATTGGTCTGGCCTGTCACTTTTAGGCTATGAATTATTGCTAAGTCACGTGAGAGTAATACCGGACTCAGAAACTTTCACAGTCGGCTTGGTCACTAAGCCGAATTTAACTGAACCGTAAAGCTTCTTATTGCTAAGAAGATTTCTGGGCATGGATTATTTCATTAAATCTAATTTCCAAGAGTTAACATTTCTTGGGCTATTGGTGCTAATAACAATGTTTTGTGCCATACTATACCAAAAATCGTTAACCATGTTAATTGTTACCACATATTGACACTCGACAAGATTCTTTAAGAACATTGTCATCTTCGTAATGTTCTTCCGACGTCAGAAGTTAAAAACAGTATCGGGGTTATTGTTATAATGTCTCAAACGTACAAACAAACTCAGCAAAACACTCTATACGACGTATATAGTCACTCTGCAACTGTATTGTCGTTGCATTCCGAATGGGTTGGCTCAACCGGGGAAGGACCACGTTCTCATAGAATACAAGCCTAAACAACTTTCTATACTTTTATTTTCTTTTTAATTAAATATATATATATGTTACCTCCACACTATAATTTCCTCCTTTATCGTGGGGCCAGTTTGGATAAATGATATTTATTAGGCCAAACATCCAGAACCGACACAATTATTTGTAGGCCATATAAATACTTGTTCTAACAGTGGCAACGTATCATCTCCAAAAATCAGTCATCAAATCACATAGAATGTCAATTGGAAGCAGCATTATTATATAGATGCTATCGGTTTTACAACACAGGCGTACAATATACCAGTACACTAATATATAATCGGAATCATGTATAAAAGATACTTATAATGAATTCTTTTAAGCCGTATGACAATTATATCACAACTAGTTAATTTTCCAATATATCACTTTAATGCAATAGTACAGAAAACAAATAAGAAACAAACCATTAATGTAATATTTTAACTTTAAAAGCCAGGCCTTTTAATGGAATTAAATTTAAAATTTAATGGAATCCAATTGTATCCAATTGTCCATAGAATATGTATGTATATAGTATTCTATGATTACAGCAGCATATCTTTGACACGCACATATGTACGTATACATGTGACTTATTTTAAAATAACAAGGCGCATACACTTATACATGTGTAACATAATAAAACATGTGTAGTATAATATAGAAAGCAATCAATAATTCAATAACTATGCCTTTGTATGCGTCAAAAAATATATTACGAAAGCGTCGGCTTTGAAAGGTCCTGACATCACTTCATAAGCAAGAAGTTAGGTCATAAAGTATTCACGAAGTCCGACGAGTGTCGGCCTTCTTTGCAGCTGACGGTTTCGCAAATATTAAATTACATTTTGTTATTATATATGGCTGAATGCAATTATGACTCGTAATATTTTTAGTGGCACACTGAAATATCATTTACTATAAAAATAAGATCTTTATTGTATACATAAAACATGACAATTATTTATAAAATAAATATGATAATATGTATTTTAATTGCCATGTTACCATTTATAAACGGATTAAAAAATCTTTAGTTAGTTCATTTGAAATAAGAACTAGTCCAGGAAGCATTTATGATACAAACACAAACATTTAATTCACTAGTACTGTAATTTTTAAAGGATTTGCTCTTATAAAAGACGAAAGATGAAAAAGTAAAAGTAAAAGTATAAAGGGCATTATCTAAATTACGAGAAGCGGATTCTGCGATTGCTTATACGGTACGTCAGTCAAGAGTGACTCGAGT